CTATTAGAATATGTTTTCAGATGTCCTCTAAAAATTTCTCTCCCAAACAAAATGCATCATCATAGGCATATTGTTGTCTCTGGATAGTATAAATCCAGGTGACCATTCTTCAGAAGTGCACCCAAAAGATGAATTGCCATCTGATGCTGGATTGTGTTGTGCGGGTGAGCAACACTTTGTTTCATGCTGAGTCATATGAGTGGAAGTCATGTACCAACTTGCAGGACAATTCAGAACATAGCCTCTGATGATTCACAAATACAAAAAGTCCAAAAGTTATCACAAAACTATATTTTTCAGATGACATAATTACAAATAACTGAGGAAATAAAACAGTAAGCCATAAGTCCTTGAGAGTTGACAGTTCAGGACCACATGGCATTGACTCTAGTCTAGATTGTATAGTCCTGAATATGGTAAGTACATTCTCTGCATATCGTTTGTCATATGAAAAGAGTTTCCCTCTTCATGGTTTATTTTTCCTCTGTGGCACATTCTGGACTCCAGAGTCTTTTATCTACCATTTGGCTTTCCATGGACTATCAGAACTATCAGGTGGGATAGTTGTGAGAGTCTCTACTTTGAGAAACTGTGTACATAATATTTATTTGATATATGACTCATAATTATGTTATTATGATAGCTCCTTTATCTTCAAAATAGCATCTGATAGTTCATTGCCTTCTTAACAATAGTTAGGTATTTTCTAATAACTTTTTCCAGAAATGCAAATGTTTCTTGGGGTACTTTCCAATCTCCACATATTATACCTTTGGCATTTTTATAATTGAGGGCCAAACCAAATTTTCTGTAAGTTTTTTGTTTGAACTTTTATTGTGTAATTATTTTTATTTTTATTTCTTTGAGAGGGCATCTCTCATATTTATTGATCAAATGGTTGTTAACAACAATAAAATTCTGTATAGGGGAGTCAATGCTCAATGCACAGTCATTAATCCACCCCCAGCCTAATTCTCGTCAGTCTCCAATCTTCTGAAGCATAACGAACAAGTTCTTACATGGTGAACAAATTCTTACATAGTGAATAAGTTCTTACATGGTGAACAGTACAAGGGCAGTCATATCACAGAAAGTTTCGGTTTTGATCACTCATTATGAACTATAAACAATCAGGTCAAATATGAATATTCATTTGATTTTTATACTTGATTTATATGTGAATCCCACATTT